ACTTGGCATATAAAACGCTCCATTAAACGATATGCGTTTGGAAGAAACAAAATGTTGCAGACTTTGCAGAGGGAGATCAGGTTATTATGACATTTTTAAATTTTATTATTCAATTTATTCATTCACAATGGTGGATTAATGTGATACCTTATAACAAAATTCAAATAACAGGTGACATTAGAGCTTCAGAAAACAATAGAGGGCAGGTATAGTTTGATACTATTTATTCGGCTATTAATTTAATTGATTGATTGTGTATTGAATTGGTGGTATATTATAGAACTGTTTTTATTTCCTCAAATGTCTTTAAACAAAAGTACCTCAAGTAAATTTACCACGAATGGAGACGAGAAATGTTAACCCCTTCATAGAAGTACTTACGAAGTCGAGCAACATCCGTGAATGGTTTGAACTATATGAATTTTATCTTGCTGTTAACAACTTGACCGCTACACCAGAAAAACCCACGAACGTTCTTCTTGTTAGCTGATCAGGTAACCGCTGCTAACAAGAAGAATATAGCTGGTTTTATAGATGTGGATAATGGCGGGGAGGTGATCATTGTTTGTTTACGTTTTAGGTGGCGCCTCTATTCAGCAGGTTGAGGATGTGATGCAAATTTTGTATTATCGAAGGCTTGTTACATTTGTAACGCCTTCTTGTTAACCCCCTTTGAAGGTCCCGCATTATTTTCTGAACGAAAGCTCAAAAATAACCGAAAATCGACCTTTGTAGCCTGATCAGGAAACCGCTGTTAACAAGAAGAATGTAGCTGGTTTTATAAACTATGTTGATGGAGAGATTTATTCGCTGATCAGATCTCTTGTTAACCCAGACAATTGTTACAGGTATTATACTATCATATTATATATAGAGAATATACTGATTGGAGTCAAATATAACTAAAGTGACACAAGTTAAATTAAGATACTGCCTTTGGCTCTCTTTCACCAGGCTCAGATGATGGGGGCTGCCAAACCAGCTAAAGATATGCTATTGGTCTGGACAAAAAGGTTCAGATAAGGGTCTATGACAGCAATTTGGTTAAATTTGTTTTTAAGAAAAAAGGGCGCCTGGAAAGGTCCCGAGAAGATCTATGGCCATGAACTAAGAACTCCTTTTTATCAGGATCAAATCATGAGGGCTGCTAAACCAGCCCAAGATATGCAACCAATTGGGTTGGATGAGAAGGTTCAGATCAAGGTATATGATAGCAATTTGGGTAAGTTTGTTTTCAAGACAAAAGGGCGCCTGGAAAGGTCCCGAAAAGATCTATGGCCATGAACTAAGAAATCCTTTTTATCAGGATCAAATCATGAGGGCTGCTAAACCAGCCCAAGATATGCAACCAATTGGGTTGGATGGGAAGGTTCAGATCAAGGTATATGATAGCACTTTGGGTGAGTTTGTTTTCAAGACAAAAGGGCGCCTGGAAAGGTCCCGAGAAGATCTACGGCCATGAACTAAAAACTCCTTTTTATCAGGATCAAATCATGAGGGCTGCTAAACCAGCCCAAGATATGCAACCAATTGGGTTGGATGGGAAGGTTCAGATCAAGGTATATGATAGCAATTTGGGTAAGTTTGTTTTCCGGACAAAGGGGCGCCTGGAAAGGTCCCGAGAAGATCTATGGCCATGAACTAAGAACACTGATCTACACTGATCACAATGGGAAGTTATTCTGTAGAGCATGTAAGATCGTCATAGATCACATAAGGAAAAACACAGTAGAGCGGCATTTGAAAACGAATGTAAATAATTTTATTTATCAGGTGAACAATTGTTGCAAAGAATGATATGTATTACTATTTGACATTATATATATTCTGAAAACGTGAAGAACACGTTAACAAATAAGGCTGGTTAAAACTTAATTTGATTGAAAGTTCTAACAGCAGCTGAGACACCATAATATTGTATCTCCCAGAGTTGCCGATATTGACAGCAACTCTCACGGCTAAGCCTATTGCTTCTGCAATTTACTTACAAGGTAAGAGTTAAGTAAAAACACGTGTAAACAGGGCGTTTAGGAAGCTGGTTAAATTGGAACTTGTAGAGCTGGATAGTTGTGGACGGTGCAAGAGTACCATACTAGCAGAGGACACACAGGTTACCATACGAGGGTGAGTATAAATACATGGAGAGTGGATGATGGAACATCAACCTCACTTCCACATTTGCTTCTTATTGTTTGTTACAACTCTACAAAATGACAGTCACCTACACTAGCTACGGTACACTAGCCAAGTTGGAATTACTTACCATGTATATGAGGATCACAGTCACCACGGCTGTATGTTTTGGTCTGGACACTATGAGATACAATGTTTGGGACAGGAAGATTAGACGCATCACCAGAAAACTTGAAGGACAAAATTTAAGTATCATTGATCTTTATTATAATTTATATACATTGTATGATTATTTGTTATTATTGATTTCTAACCAGTAAAAATTATCAACGAGTTTTTTTGTTGATATTTTATTAATGACATCTTCAAAACATCTCAGGTCAAGGTGACAACAATGGTTGTCAAATCAATTTTGATGGAAAGCTGCTGAAAGATTTACCAGGACATCTTATTGGTAAACTAAATCGTCTGGCAGTGACTCTATTTCAGGAATCTGGTACCGACCTTCTGAGTATCGCCAAGACGGAGGATTCCACTGGAAAAACTAATTAACGAGGGTGAGTATAAATACATGAAGAGTGGATGATAGAACATCAACCTCACTTCCACATTTGCTTCTTATTGTTTGTTACAACTCTACAAAATAACAGTCACCTACACAAGCTACGGCACACTAGCTAAGTTGGAATTACTAGCTATGTACATGAGGATTACAGTCACCACAGCTGTATGTTTCGGGTTGGACACTATGCGATACAATGTTTGGGACCGGAAAATGAGACGCATCGCCAGAAAACTTGAAGGACAAAACGTAAGTATCATTGATCTTTATGTCTATTTAAACTCTGTAAAGTGAGAATATTTAGTAACTATGGATCTTTCTAAATCATACAATAAACCTAGTTTTGAAGGATCATTTTCTGTAAAAAGGAAATTCTACACTGCTGTAAAGATACTGGACCCAACCATAACCATTAAAAAAGTTGAAAAATTCCTAAAAACACTATTATATCTACCCAGACCTTTGAGAAAACCTAAATTCTACAGAAAAGTTTATACGAAGGGCATAAATTATTTATGGCAAGCAGACTTGTTGTTTCATGATAAATATTGGAGAACTAATAAAGGTTATCGTTATTGTTGTTTTGTGATTGATATTAAGCTGGAGCTAGCAGAGCTGGACAGTTGTACAAGGTGCAACTGGTTTACTCAGTATGAGTTTTTTCTTCAATCTGAAGATTGTGATGTTACCAGTAAATCCAGAAAATCGAACTGAGGCAGAAACTGTGAGTTTACAGAGAGCAGCATACTACTATACTAGTTATCTCTCACCATATCTCTCCTAGGTGAAGACAGATATATATTGATTACTTATAATATATTGATTACTATATTGATTATGTATGGATTTTAATTGTATATCTTAATACGGGTTTTTGTTATATATTCTAGTAATTTATTGTGTTATTGTATTATTAACCGATATACTATTCAGGATGACAACCTGGGTTTTGGTTTAGCTTTTAGCTTTTAGTCTTGCGTTTACCTTGTCACAACGATTCATAACAGTTTTTAATACACACAATGAGAGTTTTCCTTGAACGATGAGATGATCGACCCTGACAACAAAGATTTATCTGGCGACGAGGACAAGGACAAATGGTCTGAAGAAAACAAAACAGCAGAGGAGACACAAACATCCGCATCACAACAACCACCAGTTGTTAATCCAACTCCAAGGAGGAGAATGCAATCGGATCAAGGAAACCCAGTTGGACAATGGTCAGAAAGTAGTAAACTCAGATCATGGTTCGAACGTTTGGAAGTGGTATTCATGGATCTAGAGGATGAAAACTCCAATGACAAGTGGAAAGCTGTGAAACTCATCAAGTGGATTGGAGCACCATACTAGCAGAGGACACACAGGTAACGATATATCTGCTATATATTATGTGCCCCAGTGTTAAACAAGGAACTGAAACCGAGGGGTCTCGTTCAGGTCCCTCACAATTTTGTTTCTGCTTGGTTTTAATATACCGTTATAATAATGACTTAAATATAAAGTAATGAATAAACATGAAATGTAATTGATCTTAAAACATTTAACAATCAGTAGTTTACATGCGACAAGTGCGATAAGATTGAGGGGGAGGATATGCAGACATACTTCAACGAGCAGGTGACAATCACAAAGATCACAAACAACCAGTGGCAGTATAGAAAGAGCTGTCGACTGAATTTACATTCGGAGAGGAGACATGGAGGACACAGTTGGTGTTTGAAAAAGAGCCCCTCTATGACGAGCTTCAAGAGATTGAGGAGGGGATATAAGGACGGTGAAGCGGTGGAAGGATTATTATTTGGAGATGATCACACCATTAAGCATTAAATTATGTAATTGATTTTTATTTGGTTATTATTATATATCTCAACTATTTGTTTCTATACTATTTGAAAAAAATTGTTTCTATACTATTTAAAGCATAGCACCAAAAGTAAACCTTATGTCATAACCAATCACTAACCGCCTTACATCTCAGTTGTACCTCAACATGACTTCTTGACCTCTAACTACCAAGACTGGGTTCTCTACCAAAAACGCTCCATCAAGCATCGAAGTCCTCACTACTTGGTGATTTTTATCACCCAAACATAGAAACAATTTTTCATTAAGCATTATGTAATTGTTTTTTATTTAGTTATTATTATATCGTCACCTACAAATAGAAAGGGCCTATGTCGACATAGGCCCCTTTAAAAAGATATACCAGCGCGAATATCTGTGGAACCATACCTACCATATCCCAAAATATTAAGTCGATTGGGTGAAAATTCAAAATCTCGACTTTTTAAAGTAGGGCCTATATTAACATGGACCTTTTTCAATAAACTGAGCGGCTACTAATTTAGATAGATTAAAAAGGCACATGTCGACATATGCCCTTATAAATTGTTGAAACGTGATGTTCTTAAAACGTAGAAAGGGCCTAAGTCAACATATGCCCTTTTAAATAGGTCAAAACCCTGCTTTGTAATAGCAGAGTTAGGGCCTATGTAAAGAAACCTAGCCAGTGAAAGTGCCAGTCAACCGACCGAACTTTGCACTAACCAATTAAAGCGACATTAAAAACTGTTTGAAACATGTGATCCGGTATTATTTCAGTGATATCGACACGCTGTAATTATTTCGCGCAATAATTAAGTTCCAGAAGGCCATGGAAGAGTCTTAAGCCGCGCGACACGTTATCATCCATTTCATTTTATGCACGTAATTGTTGAGTTGTTGTTTTGTGATACGTTATGCGATTTCTGTTGCAACTTGAATCTATTATTATACCAACCCGATTTCTCTGCTTGTTCAGTTTAAATCGCCAGGTGAACGTGATTGAACACGTGAGTTTTGTCCGTCGTATTATAGCAATCTGTAATAATTGTAATCCTGTGATAAGAATTTTGGCTCTGATCAAGTATAACTTAACTGCCTACGCCGGGACAGGGACAGCGAAACGTCAAAGAGGTGCAACTGAAGATGTGCCCGACAATTATTTATCTAGGTCGTTTTGTTTAATTTCTAACGTAAAATAAGAACATCACAAAATACAACCTTTTTAATTGCCTCCCTTAGACCGCAAAACGGAATACCTAGTCTGAATCAATATATTGCTAGTAAATAACCCGTATTTTGTGTCATATTATAGCGAAATGTTTAATCCTTAATTCCTTTCTGTTGTGAATTTCTGTTCTGAACCAGAATAAATTACCTGTCATGACAGTGTATATACTAAAGCAGTTATTCAATCACGTATCGTGATACAACTGTCCAGTATCCGCTCTGATCCAGAATAACTTACCTGTCATGACAGTCTATAACAGTTATTCAATCACGCGCTACGATTAAATGAGCTTTCGGTTTCATTTTGTGCAGGGTATAAACTTCTGTCTCAACGTATTATACTGTTAACTGTTAGCTGTGCTCTCTGTGGGGCATGAAATATCGATTTTGTTCTAACGCCACTTTACCTTTCGATGTAGATTCAAAAGCGGCTGCACATTGTCACATTGCTGGTTTATTGACTAACATTTCTTAGCTTGGTACTTTCTTTTAGTATATTTTCTCAGTATAATTTTTGAAATAACGAGATGTGTGTTATAAGGAAATAATACATGCAATACTAAATACATTACCATCCATTTAGCTAGATGACTCATTCTGTAAAGCTTCGAAAGAGGAAGGGCCGGGGCGGTACGTTATCAGTAGAGGTTAGTTTTTCACGACTTGTATAATAATAATTATATAACTAGAATCATAGTAGTTGCATAGTTCTATTTAATAATTATTTTATTACTGCACCTGCAGCTATGAGGTAGATAGAGGTAATAAGAGAGAGGTCAGCTTTTTAACGTTAGGCAGATCGTCAGATCGTCAGATCGTCTTTATCTCAGTATTGATATTTCCCAGGATACAATGTGGTGTCCTGGGTTGCAGGTTCTTGCAAACCCCTTTCAAGACAAGTTATACTACAAGGCTACCATTGTAAAAAGAGTGAGGGTAAGCTGCTTTACTTTTATAATTATTGCAAACATATCAATTTTTGCTAGTTTTGAGATTCTTTTTTAGGATCAGCGAGCCTAACTTAGACTAGTTGGCACAGATTGTTTAAAATCATAAACATTTCTCACTAATTTCAGGAAGGCGTCTTCAGTCTACAGTTCGAGTCTGAAAATAAGTCCCGCAATGTTTCTGCGAAATTCATGAAGCTTCTTATACTTGGAGTGGGTAAGTGTAAATTTAAAATGACACTAATACATTTTATGCCCCGTCTGATGTTGAATATGTGGTAAAATAACTAGTATAGCGGTATACCGTCACCTCTTCCACATGTAACTGTTAATTATTGCTTTGACGCAATGATTCAGATTAGACTCAGATAGCTGTTAGTAATGGTATACTCAATACTTATCATGATATGAAGTCTAATCTGAATTAAACTGTCAAATTTTTATGTTATACATTGAATTTATCGAATAATTCCTTCAGACGATGCAGAGGACACTGTCGTAGCAGCTGGATCTGAGGACACTGTCGTAGCAGCTGAATCTGAGGACATGGTCGTAGCAGCTGGATCTGAGGACACTGTCGTAGCAGCTGGATCTGAGGACACTGTCGTAGCAGCTGGATCTGAGGACATGGTCGTAGCAGCTGGATCTGAGGACACTGTCGTAGCAGCTGGATCTGAGGACATGGTCGTAGCAGCTGGACCTGAGGACACTGTCGTAGCAGCTGGATCTGAGGACATTGTCGTAGCAGCTGTATCTGAGGACACTGTCGTAGCAGCTGGATCTGAGGACACTGTCGTAGCAGCTGGATCTGAGGACACTGTCGTAGCAGCTGGATCTGAGGACACTGTCGTAGCAGCTGGATCTGAGGACATGGTCGTAGCCGCTGGATCTGAGGACATGGTCGTAGCAGCTGGATCTGAGGACATGGTCGTAGCAGCTGGATCTGAGGACACTGTCGTAGCAGCTGGATCTGAGGACACTGTCGTAGCAGCTGGATCTGAGGACAAGGTCGTAGCAGCTGGATCTGAGGACACTGTCGTAGCAGCTGGATCTGAGGACATGGTCGTAGCAGCTGGATCTGAGGACACTGTCGTAGCAGCTGGATCTGAGGACACTGTCGTAGCAGCTGGATCTGAGGACATGGTCGTAGCAGCTGGATCTGAGGACACTGTCGTAGCAGCTGGATCTGAGGACATGGTCGTAGCAGCTGGATCTGAGGACATGGTCGTAGCAGCTGGATCTGAGGACACTGTCGTAGCAGCTGGATCTGAGGACATGGTCGTAGCAGCTGGATCTGAGGACACTGTCGTAGCAGCTGGATCTGAGGACACTGTCGTAGCAGCTGGATCTGAGGACATGGTCGTAGCAGCTGGATCTGAGGACACTGTCGTAGCAGCTGGATCTGAGGACATGGTCGTAGCAGCTGGATCTGAGGACATGGTCGTAGCAGCTGGATCTGAGGACACTGTCGTAGCAGCTGGATCTGAGGACATGGTCGTAGCAGCTGGATCTGAGGACACTGTCGTAGCAGCTGGATCTGAGGACACTGTCGTAGCAGCTGGATCTGAGGACATGGTCGTAGCAGCTGGATCTGAGGACACTGTCGTAGCAGCTGGATCTGAGGACATGGTCGTAGCAGCTGGATCTGAGGACATGGTCGTAGCAGCTGGATCTGAGGACACTGACTCGGCTATGTATAAACTCCTATACAAATCGAAAATGTTGATGAAAGCACAGCTGATATCAAGAAAGCAGGGAGAGCCTGTACATGGACATCCACTAAAAAAGGGCCATGGAAAGTTTTTGATCAAACTAGTTCACCTAAGAGAAGCATTTAAAAGCTGGACTGCGTATGATGAGGACAAACATGTATCAGGGAGTTATATTGCATGGCCAATGAATAGTGCTGTTAAAATAGCAAATTGGGGGCAAAGACCGCCTAAGGTAACTAATACGGATAGACAAGACACTCGAAACTATGATGTTGAGGTGAATGTGTTTTGGAGCGAGTTGCAGATCGCACGAGGCAGAGTTGAAAATGAAATCCGAAACTCTGAGTTCTACACTAACGTTTTTATCTCGCATATATACCCAGAAAACGTGAAAACTATTACGGAAAGGGGTGGAGGACATGAAAACATAGAGCAGCTTCAATGTTTAAAAGTGGACAACACAATTTCATGGCCATCGAAAGAACTTGAACTAAGAATGGATGGGATACCACGGAAATCACGAAAGAGAAAAAGTGATTCAGTGAAGATGAAGCGTGACGCTAATCGGCAAAAGAAACGAATGAAAATGAAAAGCAAAGAAATAAAAACATGCAGTTGTGTAGCCAAATGTTATGAAAAGATAGATCAAGAGTTACAAATACGCCTCAGGGAATATCATTATGAACTATCAGAGAATACAGCAGCCGGCGATAACTTCTTATCGAAATATATAAATAGAAGAACAAAGAAGTTGCATAGAATAGCAGCTGGTGACAAGCGGAAGTTCACCTTGATATATAAACTCCCAACAACATCTGAACTTCCAACAACATCGGAAGATAACACAGCTGTGGTGTGTAAGGTGATGTTCTTAGAAACATTCGGCATCACTGCCAAAAAATCAAGAATCATAGTTTTTAAAAAATATGATAGAAACAGTTCTCTTTCCCACGGATTGGTTGGGAAACCCTCCAATCGCGGGACGGTTCCTGCAGTATTGAGAGCGGCAATTGAAGATCACCTGAATACCTTGCCAACTGTACCTTCACATTACCGAAGAATGTACTCTCATAAGAGGTATTTCGAGGCATCGCTAACGCTAGCCAAGCTGTTTAAACTGTTTAAAGAAAAGCATCCTGGCGTGAAAATAGGTCTAACTAGCTACAGTAACATACTTAATTCATTGAACATTGGTTTTTATAAACCTAAGAATGATCAATGCGACCAGTGTACTTCCTACAAGAATAGCTCGAAAGAAGAAATCGATCTACTACTGTACATCGAACACATTGAGAGGAAAGACATGTGTAGAAATTGTAAGGATGCTGACAAAATCAAGGCAAAGGCATGCGACAATTTCGGAGCCTACACCATCGATATGGAAGCTGTAAATTCGTGTCCAAAGGCCGCGTCAGGTGAGTTTTACTATATCACCAAGCTTGCTTGTTATAACTTATCATGTTATAACCTTGGGACTGATGAGAAGACTTGCTTCATGTGGGATCAGACACAAGCAAACCGTGGTCCAGATGAAATCGGATCGTGTCTCCTATACATTCTGAGAAATCTGCCTGAGAACATTACGGATGTCGTCATTTGGGCAGATTCATGCGGTGGTCAAAACCGCAATAAGGAAAATGCAGCAGCAATACTGCACTTCCTTAATGTGGAAGTATCCAACACAGCGCTCCATGTGAAGACTGTGCACCTGAAGTACTTTGAACGTGGACATAACGAATCTGAAGTTGATACCATACATCACATGATAGAAGCAAGTAAGAAGAACCAAGAAATATATTTACCGGACCGGTATAAGGAGATAGCAAGATCTGCCAGCACAAAAAACCCTATAAAGGTTTTTTCACTGGCATCATATGAGTATCCAGTATATGACGTCCACGCCCTTTGCAAGTCCACCATCATTAACCGCAATCGATACCGGTTTATTGATCATGAGGGCAAACCGAAGGTTAACGAAGCGTCATGGCTAAGTGCAAAGCGGCTCTCGTTTGCAAAAGGCAGTCGGGCAATGACTATCAGCACATTACCCGACCCGGAGAGAACAGATGATGATAAAGTCATTCTCACCGACAGAAAGGTAGGTTGTGTCATTTAGTTATGTATGGTTATTATGGCGCGTGATAATATATCAATGAACTTTTTACAAAGCTATACTCGCACTAATGATCATGACATCTTGGCAGTACCTGTACATTTATTCTATTGCAGGTATACGTAAGCAGCCGTGCTTCAGTAAGATCGGAGGTGGTGGATAAACCTCAACTCACAATCCTCTGCGACGATTCGACAGAGATACCTGTTTCCGAGAGGGTTATGCTTGGTCTTATTGATCTATGTGAGAAGAGGCTGATACCACAGGGGTATCATGCATTCTACAAGAGTATCACTACTATAGAAAGTGACAAGAGCGATACTGACTAAAACACATTCCATATTTCTACATTTGCAGCATTTTTATTTTACTATTTTCAATTTCATGGGACAATTATTTTATGCAATATTCATCTTAGGATGAATGTAGACACAAATTACACTTATTGAAATATTATACACCTTTTAAATTATTGGAATATTAATACAATTTAATTCTATTCATCTATTTATACTAATAATGGGATTTAAATAAATCGTGTTCACTGGTTATTGAAAATACAGCAACCTGTTATGAAATCAATAATGTGGCAAACTGAAATTAAACATAGACCATTTAAACCCATTACGGATGCATAAAATGCCTACTTCAAACGATATTAATCTACATGAGCCTCTATTCCAAGTGTTTGTCAGGAATAAACTTGAAAAGTTAAAAGGACTTATGTACACATAAGCCCTGTACCGATTCTCACATGTAAGATATTTCAATCAATTAAAAGGGCCTATGTATTGAATATTTTTTTAAAAGGGCCTATGTCAAACTTAAATCAATTATACCAATTAGTCAAAAAGAGCCAAGAACATTTTTATATTGTAGAACAGTCAATCTTTCCATTTAAGATGCATAGAAATCAAATTCAAATGCTTATCCTAGATCAAATTTCGAGAAATCGGTTTTTATGCATTATCTCAAAACAACTTTTTTTGACATAGGCCCTTTCTATATATAGGTGACGATATCTTCACTATTTGTTTATCTTTAAAAAATTTACTGACCTCAGCCTTTTGGTTTTAAAACCCGTAATATCGATAACTATAGTCGGAATGTCATGGCACTTGTTATATATCATAATATATCATTATCCTATCTTATATATCGGTATATATTGATGATATATTCTATTTATAGGGTCTTCATGACTAGATAAGTCCTCCTCCTCAGTTCGCCTTCTTAGTCTTACTCCTCCACAGCCCTCCTCCTCCTCCTCAGTCCCCTCCTCAGTCCCCCTCATCCTTTTCCTCTCTTTCATCTCTCAATAATTTGTTAAATTTATAATTATTGTTGGTGTTATTGTTTATACAATTTATTGTTATACTAAAATGTTTTAAACGCATTTAAGTCTGACTCAAAATGTGCTCAAGAATCTTTTAGTTTAACAGAGTTTTACTCTCCAGTAATATGGATATTGTTACATGATATTTTTCATAAATAAATTGATTTTCATCCCTTATTAAAGAATGTGTAGACTATTCTTAGTACCTAATTGAGGATTAAAAGTTTGAGAAAGGACCATGGTCATTAACCGGGCTATCCATTTCTGCAAATAGTCTGTTACAAACTGTGGAGAGAATTTAAATCAAAAGTAACAATTTTTGTCCGTTTTTGTCCGTTCGGTACCCTATTTTCTGAAAACGGACAAAATTGAATGGACAAAGACGGACAAAAAATAACATGATCCCCCCCCCCCCCCCTTACTAATAATCTTCAATTTATTGTTATTGAATTTCACAGTGATGAATAAGATGGTGAATACTAAAGCAGCTGTCCCTGCATCTTGTACCCCTTAAAGAAAAAGACCAACTGAGACGAAAAAATCGCCTCAAAGGAAAGGAACTAACACTACCCCCAAAAAAGTAACCAAGGTTATTAAAATAATATCTTTAATTTATTTTTTAACTTTTTTGAGATCACAAAAATGTAAGCAAATTCTTGATTGTAATATAACCAATTCTTTATAAATTGAAGTATGGCTTCAACATTTAATTTGTGTGCTTATAATTATATTGTAATTTATTTATTATTCAAATTAGGTGACACTCCTAAACGTCGAGAGACACCCGAAAGAAAAGTTAAACAGCCTAAAACGAATGGTGAGATTGAAGTTTCTTTAAGTTAACTGAATTATCTGCTCCCCAGTGCAGTTGTTTAATGTCCAATGTCATTAATCATGATTATAACGCAGTTGTTACATTGTTTTAATTCAATTAATTATAGGATGTGACAAAAAAGGCATTCGAGTGACTTAAATAAATAATAGAACGAGAAATCTAATTGACAACACCTGCTTCCTGTAAAATGTCAATTTTTAGATTCTACTTATACACCTAACATTATTTACTTCCCCACTTCTAGTAACCTCTGCTGTACGGACAAATCCTACACTGGAACTGAGACACCATGGAGGAAGAGAACTAGAGTAGTATAAGAAGATACTCGGGAGAGCAGGAAGAATTATTAGGGATCTCAGAGTATTCGTTACTACGCGGAGCTGCGGGCAACGAATAACTGGAAAATAATGGATATCCAGCCAGTCTACTCTTATCAAGACAGCCCAGCATCCCCCACCTCTCAATAGACTTTCTAAAAGGACTACAGATCCCCTGAGATTTTTATTTTTTTATTTTTGTATGAATTGAGTTTATACGCTACACCTTAAACAGAAGAAGGGTCGGAACTGATGGAGTCACAAAGACCTACTGCACTGGGTCTGTGTTGTCAGGCTCGAATGGCGCTTCTACCGCTCCAGACTGAGTACTTTCACTACCGCATTTTTCAGTGTCATGGTATGTGTGTCTACAGTGTCTACTTATATAACTATTCGGTACAATCAATAACAAGTAATCCACAGATCTCTTTCAGAATTAAACTGTATGATTTAACACAAGTTTTAAATGGGGGGGGGGGGGGGGGGGGGGGGGGGGGGGGGGGGAATATAGGCTATCTAGCAATCGCCTGCGCTATGTTCTAGGATTGACCAGGATCAGGATTAGTGCTAGTTGAATCAACTTTTAAACTAAAGCGTATGCGCTCCAAAAGCATGAACCTTCCCGAGGAACCTTCAGGTAAAGAAAAATGTCATCAAATGATATAATGGGCCCGTAATCTGTATACTTTTTCGTTCTTTGCCCGTATACCTTTCCGTTGTTTGCTCATCAAAACGTCGATTTATTCAATAATATATTATAAACTATTACAGGATCTCAGATGGTCATCAGCTCTTTTAAACCGCGCCGGTTTAGGACAGCTGACATTCTGGCTGCATGAGCTCCTGGCGCAACAACAGGGATCGGGCACCCCTGTACAGTAGAAGAGTACAGCCTTGAACGGCGTGAGTTCGTGAAGACTGAGGGGACACGGGAAATTACTGACGTTAGTCTGGGAAGGGAAGGGTACAGAAGGGTGTCAAAGGAAAGGTTGCTGCGAGGTGAGAACATCATGGATGTAGCAGTTTCAGAGGCTAATCATCACTTGATGCAAGATCTTGGGAAACAGAACAAGCACAAATTCGCTACGGAGACGGAGAAAGGGAAACTTTGTGCCTCAAATTTACAACGTCTATCTTTTGCTCACTGGGACATAACAAATATGCTTACCTGATGGTAAAACGTCAGATCACCATTAGAAGCATCCTCCCCGAACAGCAGCCTATGATTACATTCAAAACACCACCATCGGTTAGGATTACTTCATACATTTTTTTCAAAGCTATGAAAGTTCATAGATCTTTTAAGTCTTCGTTACTGCTTCATATAATGTATTTTTTATTGTATTGATGATTTGTAAATCAATGTTGATGAATAAGACGAAGGGATGCGCAGAGGAGATCGCGAGAAGTGGAGCCCTAATGGCAATAGACTTGATAGACTGTTTAGATTCTAATTCTGTTTAATGTTGTTTTCTAGATATAAGTTTTATATGCATGACAGACTTTGTCCAGTATTTTAGGATAGCATTTTATGGCATATAACGGGTGATGAATAAAAAATGGGACTACATATTTTTTAGCCCTCAGATTCCACCTGAACAAAATTATGATATTTTACCACAACCACCAGTTACTCTGAACAATACTCGAACAGTTTCCACCCCCATTTGATAAAATTGGTTGATCTTTGTCCCCGATAATGGTCTCGAACTAGGGGAGGGGTCCTATAAAAATTTTACAGTAAAGCTCTGTTCACAGAAGTCGCCTCACAGGTAGTTAAAGCTTCCATACCAAAAAATATTTAGCAGAGAGTATGCCGAATGTTATGCTTAAGACGAGGGTTCAACACCCATCAGCGTAGCTAAAACCGGTAAGAAGATATTTGAGCTCAAAACCACCTGAGGGGTAAAATTTTACCGTGTGAAAGATCGAGGCTAGGTCAACTATCGGCTTTAGCATGGTCTATAATGGTACCACATAAAAATCAAAGTGCTTGGAGCCTTGCCAGGTGTTGTTCCTACAAGAAAATATCCCCAAAGGGTGGAAGGTGGTTCGTTCGGATGGGGCTAAATCGTATTTTTCTGTGAAAACCGCATCTTTATTTGCCATAAGGGTTAATTTCGTCCCAAAAGTTATCGACTTAAGTAAATTTTGACAATCTCAACTCATCTAGAGGACTTCTTTAGAGTCCTGGCAACACATGTACATGCCCGGAATATGGCTTACAAGCATACATGGGCCTTAGGGCACAAAAGAAGAGACTGCGCCAACACGATTTTAATCCCAAATGTACAGACGGATTTTTGAGCTTGAAGAAAGAAGTCCTCCTGAACCAATCAAAATGGGCTCATGGGCGCTTGTCATTGACCATACTTGTTCAAAATTGCCCGTTTTACAACTCTGTTTCATTGGTTTGAACCAAAAATAGTTTTATCGACACTAAAAAGACCCTTGAAAAAAGTCCCATTTTTTAGTCATCACCCGTTATTAGTTTACGACATTTAGTACAGCATTTGTTCCCCCGAATTTTCCTCTCCGTCATTAGGGAGGGACCCATTAGCTCAACCTTGGCATCAATAAGGAATATGAACAGGGAGTTACGAGACTCCCTCATATCGGACAACTTTTCCCTGGAAAAGAAAGAGAAATGGAATGTGCTGTTAGAATGTTTGTGAAGATTGCAGATGCGTGGTTAGAAAAACAAATACATTGTTATGATATTAACTAATGCTTGAAAATATGTGGGAGAAAATATGTGGGAGAAAATATGGGAGAAAATATGATGGCCGATCTCAACTGAGTCTACAACTCATAAACGCAGCTTCAGATTATTTGTCACAAGAATCCCAAGAGCGCAATATTCTATAATCATGTCAATCGTAAGATTATGACGTATTAGTTATAAGTTCAATATAAAAGTATAAAATATTATGGACATGTAGTCTGTTGTTATTGGTAACAACCGCCAGTTTGTTCAGAAAGTTGCAGACACTATGAACCAAGTTGGCGTTCCATATCTGGACAGACGACTA